AGAGCTCGGATGCGCTTTTCAACATTACACGAACAATTGGACAATGTATAGAAGAGAAAGAGATAGATATAGATAGATATAGAAAGAGGAAAGAGGTTTTGCAACAACCGGTTAAAAGTAGTAGTCGGTTCGAAGTATCCATTCTTCTTGCAGTTGGTTTTTTTTTTAGAACGAATTGAACGGTTGTGGTGCACACGCGTTTTAGCCTGCGAATCATACCTTGCTATTCGCGAAGAGGAGACCCACGCCCTCCATGCAAACCTGCAGAAGTCCACCCTCGCCGGTGCGCATGTCCTGTACAGGAAACTCGCCACCGAGCTCGACTTCCTCGTGGGGACCACGGCCACGGGCTACAGCTTTCTCCATTGCGTCTTTTATGCAGTAGTAGAGGTCCTTGCACTGAAATCATATCGATCAGTTGGTTAATTTACGGTGTAGGTACGTGTTCTGTTGGGTTCGATCGAAGTTTCTTCCTTGGGAAATTATAGAGATTTGTTAGGCTAGAGGAGTGGAGACTTCGGTACGTAGTGTTCAACCACGGTTGTGAAATCTTTGTTTTGGCGTTTTTAAATTTTTTGGAAATTTTAAAATTTATGTGTATCTTTTGAAAAATTAAGGTGAAAGCACGCAAGGGCAGAAATTAAATTCGCGCCGATGACACAGCGCGAGCAAATATTCAAAGCGCCAATAGGAGTGAAAGGTTAGGGTCGATAGCATTTTTTCTTAAAGTGTCTGAATAGGATACGTACCTTTTTGGTGTAATACTTATGCAGCTGAGTTTGCCCACCGTTTAGCCGCCAAAGGCACAAGACTTTATTCTTCGGGCTGTAGGTCATGTTGACTAAACGCTCGTACCACCATCGTTCCACGATCACGCCGTTCACGGACCTCAACACGAGGCCGTCGTGGCGAACCTCGAGGAATCGAAGATCACCCTCTGCGTCGACGCCAGCGTGCACGGTGAACGACTGCCGGTGCATCTGCCTGGACGTGAGAGGCTTCAAGTCTATATCGTTTCCGTACTGAAATGACAAAGAAATTTTTCTTTTTAGCGTTCTCTGGAATTTTTAGGATTCCTCAGTATTTCACGTTTCGAATTTTCCTAGAATTCTTACTTTTGACAGTTTTTTTTCAGAAAACACTCAGTCTTTCAATAATTTCCACATCTAATATTCCTTCACATTTTCAGAATTCTTTAATATTGAAAAAAATTCTATGGAATTTTTAGGATTTCTCAGTATTCAAATGTCTCAAATTTCCTAATTTTCCAAAAATGTTCACATGATAAATACAGAGATTGAATTTCAACTCACAAGATTATTTATTTGGTCGAGTAGTTGATTGAGCTCCTGGCTGTAAATCAGGCCGATATGGCTCTTCCCTAATAGCCTCCTTACTTTACGCTTCACCTCGTTCTTATCTACATTCAGCATCACTAGAATCGCAGTCAAATTATGCAACAAAGTGCACAATAGCCTATCTTCGTCATGCTCCAAGCGTTTCTTCTCGCTTTCGCTCAATCTCTTATACCTGTGCACCAAAATAAACAACTCATAATTGATCTTTAGAAGAATTCCATTTCCAATTTCCATCGTTATTACCTCTCCATCATTTCTCCAGGACCTTGATCCATGCCAATCATGTCTCTTTCTTGAGACACCGCGTCCAAAAAAGCGTCCTCCCAAAATTGCATCTGGTCCCAAAGTGAGGATCTCTCTTTCCCCAATAATCCTATAATTAATTTTATTATCTTCCTAAATTATTTTCCACTGAAATAAATCTATGGAATGAGAAAAATATCCAAACTAAGCTATCACCTCTTTAAAAAAAAAAAATACTATCATAAAGAAGGGGTTAAACTTAGACAAAATGTCTTCAGTCACTTTTCAATGGTCATTTTTTAACTGAAACCATAACCAAATTTGTAACACTAAAAATATTAAATTACGCTGAAAACTTAGGACACGATGTACCTTCGAATAAGTACGTTCTCGCAGCCTCCGGACTAGGAGCGTTCATGGTTGGTACCAAGCTTCCTCCATGGTACCGGAAAACGGTGCTCACGGAAGATTTACTGGACCAAACGCTCCCTGTTCGTTGCTTCGGTTGTCGTGGAAACTGAAATCGTACAATCACATAAGAATCCTTAGGAAATCCTTGAAAAAACACATTATTATTCATTACGAGGTTCGTGAAGTTCATCAAAAAAGTTTTCTCAGAATTTTTCTAAAGATTCAACAACAATAAAAAAGTAAGCTCGATTACTCTTTTCTACGTTCAAAGGGAAGCTCCAAAGGGTCATTCTAAATAGATTTCTCAAGCTACGTGAAATTTCAAGTACTCAGTGCATAATACTACAAACGCAATATTGTACCAGGCGATCAGGTGTAAATGTTAATATATGTATATACCCGAATCGGCAATTTTCGATTCGTCGAACATGTGTGTACGTGTACTTGAGTGTATTGGAAAAAGCTAACAGTGGTTTTGTTTCATTTTCTTCGTTTTTCTCTAATCGTGTACCAGTGAAAACTGCAAAAAGCTTCGTTGTTTCATGTGCAAACGCTAATCTCTAGTGGTACGTAGCAACATGCTATTCGGTTATCCTCTTCGTACGGTTCCGAACGATTCCAGAATTTTCACAATGCAAGTATTGCACAAGCTGTATTGCTCCTCTGCATCGATTCTCAACTAAACGATCTAACTCTATGACTATGACAGGGTGTACTAGAAGACTGGGACAGAATTGCACAAGTTTGTGTGAATATATGTGAAAATGTACAATTAAAGAGTTACTCTGGAAATATCCAAATTTTCTCCCATCTTGAAAATTTTTTAAAAATTCCTATTCTTCACTTTGGTTCGATTTTTCAATGTATCAGGCGTAGAAACGAATTCTTTTCGACTGAAGTCTCATAATTAATTCAAAATTATCGAGTTTCTGACAGAAAAATGGCAAAAGGTCATAAAAAAATAATGGAATTTACTTTGATTTTTTATCTGTTTTCGTTTTTTCTAAGTAAAATTTTGATTACACCCAAAATTCGGGAAGAATTCATTTCTACGCCTGATAGAATTTCTGGTAACTCTTTAATTCGATATTTTCATACTATGATCACGTGTAAACTTTCTATTTTCCCGTTACAATTCGATCCCAAACTTTCAGGACACCTCGAATATTCCCCTAATAGGATAATTTTGCGATTTCGTGGGTTTGATATTGTTTCTAACCGGAATAATTTCTTACGTTCTCTTTTTTTTTTTCTCTCTCTCAAATTCTACCAGCTATTTTAATCTAGTTTATTAAAGAAGGGGTAAAGAAAAAACTGATTCAGTAGATTGATTTACATTGCCTTGCTCGACCTCGCTATCAGAGACAGTGCTTCGGAAAGAAGCTTGGTGCGCTTGCCGAAAAGCAGGATTAGTGATTATGCTACCTCCGTCTGTGGATAAAGCTTCGCTGCTTCCCGTTCCACCTCCCCGCCCACTCTAAAAACACATGACGTCTCTATATAGAACATTTAATTGACGAACAATGTGACAACGTATCGCGATAATCGCTTGAAACTTCGATTTTTTTCTCTTTTTTTTTTTTAATTTTTGAGCACAATGTTTTTTTTTTTTTTTAATTCTTCATTTCCACGGAGACCCCGACTGATACATTGGTTAAACGACAGGATATTTTCTGTTCGAAATGGTAAACCTTTGAGTCCACTTTTTTTGGTCATTTCTTCTTGGGCAATACTTATCCTTGCTCGATTTTTTTTCTTAGTAATTATTACAGCAACTTTCATGCAACGATGTGTACCTTGTGTATCCATTAAATACAACACCAACACGGTCCGTTTGACGATCTATCGTTGATGAAAGAATTGATTTCTCTCTTTTTTTTTTGTTGCTTTTTAAGTACACGAAAGCAGGAGCTGAAATTGGGTGGATTGAGAAATGATTCGGAGATTGGGTATTGGAGGGTTGATCTGATTGAAGGTTGGAAAGTTGAGCTGATTAAGAGTAGAAGAAATGAATATTGAAATATTGGAAATTTGAGAAATTGAGTATTAAATATTTTTTATATTGATGAGCAAATTTTAATTTGAAAAATTTGGAATTGAGTAAACTTAAGTTTGAAAAATTGGGGATTGAGCAAATTTTAATTTAAAAAATTAAGGATTGAGCAAATTTTTAATTTGAAAAATTGAGGATTGAGCAAACTTAAATTTGAAGAATTGAGGATTGAGCACATTACGATTTAAAGAACCGAAGACTGAGCAAATGTAAATTTGAAAAATTCAGAATTGGCCAGATTAAAGATTAGAAAATTGAAAAATCAGCAAATAGAAATTCGAATAATTAAGGATCGAGAAAATGTTTCAACCCCTGCGTGGAAAGTAACTTAGGAACAGCAACAGTAAGCCTTTACGATCGTCGAATTGTACGCGTGAAAATGTAGACAGAAAGTGAGACCAGAGAAAGAAAGAGCGGGAGACACCTTTGCTACCTTCGTGTGACACGAGGTAACGTTCTGACGGAACATGTTGCTTTTACCTCAGAGTCGAAGGATGTTAGCCTGCTGAGGAACTTTCCTTTTTTGCTGAACATATCCCGGAACATATCAGCCGTCGATTGATTCCCTTCGCTCGCTGGTGATGTGTGACCATGTGCCATTTCCAGGTGAACTTGTGGCGGTTCTATCAAAAAAATAATAAAAACAATCCAAATTAGAAATTAACAGCACAAGGGAAACAGGATAAGAGTCAATTTTTTATCAATAGATGCACTTTGCATGAAAGGATGAAAGTTCCAATAAAAAACCACTGCACAGTGTTTTCATTCTTTTTCTAAAGACACAATATTAAAATTTTTTATTAAAAATAAAATCACAATGAAGATACTGAGTATGAGACTTTTTTGAAATGGAATTATTAAGCGTGATTCTGATGAGTTTGTCATAATTTTTTACCTGTTTCGAGGAATATTGAAATCACAGGGAACGTAAATTCACTTTACTGTGTATACACAGTTCAATTTACCTGGTTTTTGAGACGGATCTGTAAATTCGTGCTGAGTGGGAGACTGCGGGGATTTTAAGTTCTCCCTGCTGCCAAACGGACTAGATGTCTGAAAGGATTTCGAGCGATTAAATGGAAGATCGAGATGGTATTGAGGGAAATCGAGGATCTACGTCGACGATGCATACTTGAGACATTAAAGAAGCATCGAAAGTTCCGTCCGCGAGGTCCTTGCTCCAGTAATGAGTGTGTGCGATCTCCATCAGCTGGAAAACCGACGCCATTCCACCGAGACCGAAGTTATTGTAAGTGTGTCCAAGACCGTGAGCCACTGCTTGAAGGCACTTTAGTATCCCCTTGTAAACCGGCTTCGAAATGCACTGTTAATTTAAGAAAAAAAATATTTAAAAAAGTTGAAAGATACCTTCGAATTTTTTAGGAAATTTTAATAGCTGAATTTTGGAATTTTTAGTTATTTGTTTTTTTGTTTAACTTACCGTATGCACTATTAGTAAAAAAAAAGAAGAAGGAACGTAAGAAAAAGATATGTACATTTGCAATTTTTGTAAATTTAAAAAATTGACATTTTTGAATTTTAAGTTACACGAAGTTTGATTTTTTGTTTTTGTTTTGTTGAACTTACCACGTCGTCGATATGATCGTCAGGACTGATCTTCTTATTGAGACCTTTGTTCAATTTTGTGACCACCAAGTCTCGATAGCTCTCGTCCTCCATTAGTTTCTTCAATCTGTTCAGTTTTAGCCAACCAACGCCTTCTCCGGTTAAAACTTGATTCACCACCTGAAATATAAAGTGTTTTTCATATTTTTACCAATCATGTGAAATATTTTTACTGCTTTTAGTATGGAAAATTATACAATATTATGGATATAAAAAGAAATGAAGGTAATCTCCATAGAAAGAAGATCCATATGAAAATTCATCGATGAAAGAAGATTCATATGGAAATTCGTCGATGAAAGAAGATCTATATGAAAATTGATCGACGAAAGAAGATTCGTGTGAAAATTCGTCGATGAAAGAAGATCCATATGAAAATTTATCGACGAAAAAAAATTCATATAAAAATTCATCAATGAAAGAAATGATTATCCAGAAAATAACAGAAGTAAAACAGTATGTTTAAACGTTTCAAATAACAAAATGTACGTATTCTCAATTCAAAAAACTCACATCAGTCAGGAAAGCTTGATTGTCACTGTTTGTACTAGACCTCTCCGCGTTCTGCATCCTCTGCAGGTCCTCCTGATTAGGCTTGTTCGACGTGTGTTTTATCAAAGTTGAACGCTCGACTAGTCTAGTTTTGTCTTCTCAGAAGAAAATCATTTTTACAGACACTCTACTAAAACTCAGAAAATTGCCTAAATTAAAGAAATAACTGAATCATACTTTTAGGAAAAGGCCCGAGAATCGGTGTCTTCTTATCCGTCCTCTGCGACTGAGGTTGACCGGCATTTCGACTAGAACTATTCTTACTGCCTATAAAAATAGGAAAAAAGAAAAATTCATTTTCGAATAATTCTCCATATTTGACTATTCTTATTTTTCAATTGTTTCAAATTTCACGAAACTCACCAAATAGATCGCCTAACATGTTACTCGTTTGAGTAGCGATGCCATTCAAATCGCTACTAATATTGCTGAAAAAATCACGACCGATCTCTCGACGCCCTCCTCGATTATCAGAGGCGACCAATTGCGTGCTACTCGAGTCCCTTCTTTGCATCATTCCCGGAGAAGGTGGTGGTGAGTGCTGTGTATCACCGAGGCCCTGTGCAATTTTTCGAGAGATTTCTTCTTTAAGATTCGACGCTCGTTTATTGATCAGTTTAAAGATTATTTAACAATAGGGTGCGGCAAATTTTTTTTTAGAGGAATCCTAGGGGAAAAGAAGAATTTTTGGGCTAATCATTTAGGGTGCGATGAATTTTGCGGAGATTATTTTTTTCAGCAGAAGTTTTGAAGAAACGTGAAAAGATAATGAAAACAAACGTATTCTGGGTTGAGAATTGTAAGAGAACAGTTTGGAACACTTTATCTGGTTCACCCTGTACATATAAAAAATTCTGCAGCTTTTTTATTTCTGATTTTGTCAATTTCAAGAAGATTTCGATAAATTTTGATGAAGCTTACTTTGAGCAAGCCTTTCTTCGCAGCAGCTTCCTTGGCACTCTTCGTCAAATCTCCCAAAGTGCTCTTGCTAACTCCAGCCGCGGTTTTGCTCGCTTCCAGAGCCGTCTTCGAAGCCTCTTGCACCGATTTCGTTGCCTCTCCCATGGCTTTCTTCGTCTGTTGCGTTAACTGTTCAATTTTCCACATTCGAAGAAACCATTAAAAATTTTAATTCCACGAAAACCATTAAAAATTTTACTTCCATGTATAAAGCTTGCTAAATTAGGAAAAAAGGATCACCTGTTCCAGTGGCGCGAAAAGATTGTCCTCTCCGACCTCCGTAATCTTCTCCTTCGCCTGATGTTTCAACTGTGAAACAGAGAAATATTTTCCCTTGTAAAATAGACTGCAATTTTACGCACAGAAAAATTAATATTCTCCAATCATGGTCATCTACAGAAACACTGACGTTCACTCACACTTTTCACTCTTCAAATTAAAAATGAACCTACATACATAAAGGTTTGGCGTAAGTAAACTCGGAGTGGAACAGGAGATGCTGAATGACAAGGAAAAAATTGCTCAGATTTCAAAGGGTCGAAAACGTATTCGGAAAATACTACCTTGTCCATCTGAGCAAGGAGGCCATCCTGACTGCTCTGTCTGGTCGTCTCGCGAACCAGATCCTTTGCCTGGTTCGCAAACTGCTCGAACAACGAGCCCTGAGACCCCTGTCGCAGAACACCGTTCCCAGTTACACCGGAGCCCTGTCTCCGACAAAATATAAAAAGAAGCAGAATATCAAAACTCGAAAAGAGAACCTCGAGGGTTTGAACAGTACAGACGGAAATGACTAGAAAAAACACAGAATCTTAGAAGTTGGCTGGTACACGTAAAACCAACCTCAAACGCAAAATACAGTTTCTTCTTTCGTACAATATATTAGACGTGGAAATAAATTCTTCCCAATTTTTGGGCACGATCAAAGTTCCATTCAAAAAGAACGAAAACAAGTCAAAAACCAAAATAATTTCCATAATTCTTTATGACCTTTTGCCATTTTTCTAGCAATTTGCGAACACCATCGCGATAGAGACATAACCCTTCCGACCCGACGGCGTTTGCAGTAGTTCGCTTCCTACGGCCGACGTGAAATTTAATAGTCCGTTCACGACGGCCGACTTGAAATTCAGCCCTAAACATATCGAATTGTTTATAAAGTATTCGAGTCTTTGACAATATTGTGATTTTAATATACCATATTCAGTATTGTATTGAATAATTAAGAAATTAAGAATAATTAAGAAAGGAAAGCGGTGACACATTCTCAGAATCGGTACGCGGTACCGAAGTCGGCCGCATACGACGGCTGGTATGTCGGTACGCGGTACCGATGTCGGGTCGGAAGGGTTAATAGTTTTGAATCAATTACGAGAGTCCAGTCGAAAAGAATTAATTTCTGCACTTGATACCATAAAAATTTACACATTTCCATGGTAATTTCTGTTCAACGTTAAAACTGTATTTTACCCAGTACAAAGTTACTATGGAAAAGAAATAACCTGGGGTTAAGAAACGTCGGAACAGAGTGAACAAAATTGTTACAATTGAGACTTCGCAAAGAAGTAACAAAGAGGGGTGTGGAAATGTACAATCGTTGGAAAAATTTCGAAAATGAAAATTGGTTTAACTGAACAATGCTCCATGCTGGACACATCGAACGGAAGAGTGTGCTTATCAAGGCATGCATGAGCTCGATTCAGGAGCGTAATACGTAAGACGGTCGATAGAGATTGTGGACGACAGAGAGAATCGTGTTGATAGAGGAGGAGAGTTTGAAAAAACAAGGGGGAAACGAGAGATATCTACTGACACGCGAGGTCCTGTAGGATGTGGCAGGACGTTCGGTGTCGCTGATCGTCGATCCGGCGAAATGATGTTCGAACTGTCCTACCGAGCTTTGCGCCCTCAGGATTGTGCGTGGTGTTATTGTGGAGGCTGAGTCTGACTCAAAGCTACCGCCCTCCTCTTTATCCTACGAGCATTAGCACATCATTAGCACGGCGAACGTCGTGAGAACGCTGTTGCTTCGTCAAGCTTATTGTTAGTATAGTCCTTTTGTATACTTTTTTTGGGGAATGAGAACTGTTTCAATGTCTTTACTATAGAATGTTTCGTGAAGAACTAATGATCGAAACTGTGTACATAAGAGATCTTCGTGGTTCTTAGAAATTTCAAAAAACATTTAATTTTTAATTTACTGCTTAAATTTGAATTTTTTGTACGATTGAATTTTTCATTCAAAAACATACAATTTAACAGAAATTGTTTCTTTCTACGCCTTTTAATTACCGAGATATTAGAGTCTCAAGTTTTGAGGGTTGTTTTCACTCTTTCAATATGGACGATTAAGAATTCGAGTCCAATATGTTCTCTTC